CCGAGCACAGCCAGGAGTGACCAGGAACAACAGTCACAAGCTAGCAGAGGGTAGGTTTAGGTTAGACATCAGAAGGCGCTATTTCACGGTCAGGGCGGCTAGGGTCTGGAACCAACTTCCAAGGGAGGTGGTGCAGGCTCCTACCCTGGGGGTTTTTAAGAGGAGGTTAGATGAACACCTTGCTGGGGTCGTTTAACCCCAGTACTTTTTCCTGCCATGGCAGGGGGTTGGACTAGATGATCTTCTCAGGTCCCTTCCGACCCTAGAAACTATGAAACTATGAAATGGGCATGCACCTACACTCTTATTAATGACACAGAGGAAATATTTGACAGGGACAAACAAATTCTTCTAACCTTGTTAAGGGCCAACTTCACCAGTACTCTAATCTCTAAAAAAAAAAAAAGGAAATAAGGAAGCTATCAAATGTATCAGTATGTGACACAATATATTTTGCCAGCACTAATTATTATGTTTCTTGAAAAACACCTTTTTCATACAAGTATAACCACCTCAGGCATTCCAGCACATGCATTTAATGTTCCTTTCAGTGCTGTATCCATACTGTACTCTATAGTGCCCAGTTTTACTTTCTTTACGATCTTCCTCTAGAGGTTTGGACAACATAGGACAATCTGTTTGCTACTGATGACCAAGTACCAAGCTGCTTGTGCCATCTTTTGGAAATGATGGCCTGATTCACCCAGTTCCCAAGGAATGCAAGATAGCAATGGAAAAGTTTCCATCATTCCCTGTTCCAGGAATAACACATTCTTTATGCAGTGCCATATTAACAAAACTACTAGCCTTACTCTGTCTTAACACAGAAAATATGCAGACTTTAGTTACCTTCTCCAAGAAGGTCAGATGGGCTAGGAACAGGCATTCAAAAAGCCTGAGACTGAATTGATTCAGTCTTTGCAGGTTAGACTAACCTGGCTAGGCTAAACTGGTTTGTAACTGCATAGACATCCCAGAAATGCAGGCACATGCTTGCAGTGGCTCAGGCTAGAAGCTGGGGGGCACCAGAGCAGCCCTCCCTTCCCTTCGACAGTGCTGAGCTGAGGGGAGCGTGGGCAGGCCCCAGCAGAACGCTCTGATTAGGGATGGGTTCCCCTCCCTCCCCCCAGCAGGCTGGCAGGCAATTGATAACAGTGTTTATCACCCCTAACTCAGTGTTTATCAGCCCATTAAGAAAACAAAGAAAACAAAAGCTTCGTGGCTACCTGTTGATTTGCTCCAAAAAGCCCTAAGGGGACACAGTCTTGTCTGCCTTTGTCCAGTTTCCCACAGCACAGATGGTAACCAGCATGTGGTATGATAGCCAATGCTGAGACGTGTCCATGTAAGGCAGAGGGGGGAGGGAGGAATCCCTGCTCAGCAGGGAGCGGTGAGAGGAGGAGGGGGAGCAGGGGGCCGGGGCTGCTGGAGCTGCAACCTGGGGAGTAGAGGGACGGGGCCAGCCCTGCTGTAGAATAGAGAGCCCCACCCAACCCAGAGAGAATACTGGGATGCTGGGGAAGTCTGGTTTAACTTAAACCAGGAAGGGGTCTGGGGCAGATGTTGCATAAACCGGTTTTACCCAAATCAGTTAAGTCTGATACTGCATTCAACCAGGTTTATCTCCAATTGGTTTCAGCCATTTTCAACTTGTTTTATGTGCATTTAGCATCTGTTCTGTTACAGGTTTAAACCAGTTTTTGATCATTTAAGCCAGTTAATGCGTAATGTCTGTCCCAAGCCATGATGGAGAAGGCTGTTGATGTAGATGTCTATTGACTGTGATAACTTTACAAAATAAAGGAATACAAACTTTTCTGGGATTTGAATAGTGAGACTGATTATATCAATTTCCAAATGGTACGAGTGGATTTTCTTTCATGTGGAGTGCCCTTCCCATTCTGTAAATGTCTGTATTGACATCTTCAGTTTGTTGCACTGAATCTATTGCTTGACATGTAATATTGAGTTAGTTTATGTATTATATATAGTATTAACATTTCATCTAGTACAGTGATCGGGAACCTTTATGCAGTGGCAAGCCGGAATGACCTGGCTCAGGTCCAAGGTAGGCTGTTCCCATTGTCACTGCTGCTGCTGCTTCTCCCTGCTGTCTAGCTGTGGCACAGGTGAAGCTCTCCACTGCTGGCTAATGTGACACAGTGCAGGTGAAGTCTCCTACCTCCAAAGCCCCCCCAGCACTCAGCTGCAGTGTAGGTAATGCCCTTTGCTGCCAAATGCCATTGAAGACTTTTGGGCCCACTGGCCAGATCCAATGGCTCTGTGGGCTGGATCCAGCCCATGAGCCACAAGTTGGTGACCCCATCCCAATACAAAAGAATGATATTATCAGCCTGATGTTCTTGTATCCAGAAAGTGCTGAGAATCATTGTGCATGTGTATATATGTGTATGTATACACATACAGTATGAAGTTGTTGATGTTGTTGCAGATATGCTCACAAAATTTTTACGCATGCTACAATATCTTGCCATGCATAATTGGTAAAAGTCACTTTCTGGCGTATTTGAAAACGAAAAGATGTTAGAGTTGAGGAAGTACATCTTTTTTTTTTTTTTTCAGTTATTGAGTCAAAGACCCTGCAGGGAGACAAGGGAGAACACAGCTTTAATGCCCCTGGAACATTTATCATAGAAAACACAACTGTTGAATTTCAGAAGCCTACAGATAGAGAAATCCTAAAGATCCAAGGTCCTTTGGGAGCAGATTTCATTATCAAGGTAGGATGTATGCGTTTATGCTCTTTGAACCAAGGTATTTGAAGTTCATTTATATGAAAAAGCAAGAAAAGTGAAGGTGTACAACCATGGTCAGAGTGACTCTAAATTTTCTTGTTCTTTACATGTATGCTATGCTGGACCACTGAATCCTGGACCACAGTGCAGCAGCACTGAACTACAACCTTAATCCTTCAATCAGATTTACATGGCTAGACTGCTGCACCCATATCCACTGATTTAAGGGGAGATATTCAGATTCAGACCATATTCAGATTTGAATAAGTTGCGGAGAAGGGTGAGGGTTTCACATAGAGTTCACACAAAGGAAGATGCAGCAACTTGCCTGCCAGTCAGTTTAGGAACTGTGTCCATCCGTAAGGATCTCCACTATGATTTACTTCTTATGGCATTTCCTCTTCTGGTGAAGTTAGCAAACTGTTTCAAGTTAGATATGTTCATATTGAGAGAGAGGGCTGAACAATATATAGCGGTAGAAGAAAAGCAAGATAGAGATGAACCAGAAAAGGGAGGCCAGTTGCATCCAATCCTTTACCCTCTACCTGTTCCAGAATCTGCTTTTGTAAGAGAGGACATCACTAAGGAACACACATCTGTTTTCATTTTAAGTTTATTTGTGAATAAATTTTACGTTCACTTGGAACTGATGCATTTTATACAATTGCATTTCAAAGCCATGTTACTGCCCAGGTTCCCTTAAGAGATTGGTGAACCTGAACACATTTCCAGTGAGCCTGGCATTAGGTTTCAGGTTTCGCAGACTGACATGAAACAGCTCTATCCCCACTGTGCAAAGAGAAGGAATTTTCTATCAGAAGATTTTAGGATAATCAGAGGTGAAAAATCAAGAGTGAAGGCAATATTTTTAAAGTGTGTCGCTGAAATTCCCCCCACCCCACAGGCTGATGAAACGCTCTACAGACAGTTGTGTGTGGGTGGAGAGCAGGTAGGAAGCCCTGTTTGAAGCTTGTGTTCAAGTAATGGAACATGAGGATGGTGATATGTGTACGTGCATATTTGCACATACACTGCTGCCCATTCTTTTTTTACTTTTTTCAAACGGGCATTTTCAAAAGGCCATTCTCATTTGCTCTTTTTGTTACAGACTGACTTCAGTGACTAATTTTGAAACTGGAAGTTATTAGCATTTTTAAACACTTCTTTTCTATGGTTGTTTGAATTTAACAGTTGTTCAACTTTAGTTAATTTGCAAGGCAAAATATCCTACCTATTAACTTATTCCATACTGGAAAAGGTTTTTTTTGTCTTTTTTCTAAATTATTTTCTGTCACTACAGCTTCACATTCCTTCTGTATAAGTTGTCATTGACTAATTCGTTTTTGGATATTTCCTCTAACATTTTGAACAATAGAATGAAGGAACAAAATGTCTTTCTGATTTTAAATGGACAGCTCATTTAGAGGAGATGCCAAAAACCATGTGTATATAAGATGTAACTCCCAGAAGGGAAGCAACATTCGTGGGTTTTAATAATTTTCATGTATGGCTTCCCATCATTCTTACTGTTATTACTATGATTTTTCATACAGGAGTCAAAATGGGATATGGGCTTCTGACATAAAACCAAACAGATTACATTTAATTACCCACCAACATAAGAATTTTAAGAAGATTCTCCCCAGTGAGGATCCACAATCAAACAAATGCTTAACATGAAAGGTGTGTCTTGCCCCATGTTCTGAAGATCATAAACTCTGCTCTTACCGGACCATCAAAGGAGAGCCAGTTCTACAGAGAAGGTCCTTTCACTGAAGTTGCCCTGCTTTCACTCTTTGATAGCAGGAAGAAGTTGCAGTTTGTTTTTAGAATATCATATTTTCAGATAGGATCATTGTTCACAGAGCTTTTACCCTTGGGGACAAAGCCTGACTTCTCCTGATGGTTCACTCTCCTTGTGAAGATTCAAAACAGTCTGTGGGTGTCATCACTGCTTATAAATGTACTTAGCACTTCTAATGAAAGTTTGGAGAATTACTTAGGAGAGCTCAAACAAGACACTTCTTTAAGTGGCTAAACTCCCGTAGATTTCTGTAGGAGTTAGGTGCCTAAAAACCTTTCTGGATCTGTCCCTTAGGAGCTAAAATACAGAACTGGAGCCTGGCTTTAAGTTATGAATATCTTATATTTATAGACCAACTTGCATCCCTGCGATACCCTAGTACATTTCAAACTATAAATAGAAATCCCTTCCCCTACTGGTGAGCTGAAGAGGGGTGGTTATCTCATGGTGCATAGCATCACTGCAAAATAGATTAGAAGGCAAAGTCCAAAATAAACCTATTTAATTGAACTGCAGAGGTAATTTAGATAACTAGCCAAACTGAAAGTTCATCAGAAGTGTGGGGCTAAACACCCTTACTCTGGTGCAAAGTGCCTGGAATTTTTAAATGTCCAAAAATGGCCCAGATTTTTATTTCAAATTCTATTTAAAGGATAATGCCCTAATAGTCTGTAGAATAGCAATATACCATTGGTTCAATATTAATTCAATGGGAAGGTTGCCACCTACTGAATCACCTGAACCATTCCAGCAGCACTTTTGGTTCCTGTAGTGGGTCCATCAAAGTCCTGACCCTGCCTGATCCTCCTTAGTTATTGGTCTGCCCTGACACAGGCTGACTTTTTGCATCCTATATTCAAACTTTTATGTGTCTAAACAAATCAGTAACTTGCCTCATACAACTTTCAACAAAAAACAACAATCTGATGTAGCTGCACTTGGTTGATTGTCCTTTGCTTTGCATGTTGTAGATGTGCACACTTATTAATGTGCATTATTTTGTGCCTCGAGTACTGTGCACAAACCTAAGTTGATCAATGGCTGCCTGAAGAGGAATCTGAATACTGGGTTCACATTGTAGTTCCATACACCTCCTACTGAATTGTGAAAATGTAGCCCCCAGTGTAGTATGAGAGCAGGACACATTCAGGATCTTTGGCTGTCAAGGAGGAAGAAAATCATACCAGAGGGATTTCTCAGCACTTCATTTAATGGCATGAGAATAATTGGAAAAAGGCAATGTACAAATGTTTGATTAGTGAAAAACTCTGTTTAACTGTGTTGTGCCAGATTTCTGTGTGGTTTTCTGCCTATTGCCATATTGCTGTCTACACTGATATCATACATGAATTATGGTACGAAATGACATAAGTAGTGGTGTACAGCATATAACCCTGTTTAATCAAAATCTTTTTAGACCAGGTATACTTCCCCCAAAGACAGTGTGGTTCAATTCTTTTTCTATCAACCCATAAGTCATCAGTGGAGACAGACAGAGTTCTTCCCCTGCACTGTGACATGCGGAGGAGGTAAGTAATGGAGTGTTTACAGCTGTAGATTATAAAGGGATGATTTACAACATTCATCTTTTTTTTAATTATTTAAATATGTTTATGCTGCATTGCACACAGTTTCTTGTTCAGATGAAAAACTGACTGAGTAGAAGGTAGCATGTATGTATGTAGTTAATATGAGCATAATTGTTTTCTGTTTCATGTCTTGCCATAGTATCAAAAGTCAGCACAAATAAGAAGTGTTTTTATGAGCGAGGGAGAGAGTAAAAAAAACCCATCCAACCCCAGAAGAGTTCTGAAGGTGTGGAATGAATGAGTGAAAAAGAATGAATTTCAGTAAGAGTACAAGATGAACAACGATCACATACGAAGATAGGGATTATCAGGAGACAAAAGTGAGGGATGAACCATTTCTGGCCATAGCATTAAAAGTGAGCAGGAGGACTTTAGAACACTACAGAGTGATAGGAAGTCAATGGAGATACCCTTTGGATCAAGGAATGGGAAACACAGGAAGTCACAAATAAGTTCCTTGTGACAAACCCGTCACCAGCTTACTGGTTTTGAATTAACACGGTGAGAGTGGTCTCTGTTAAACAGGTTCAGGACAGGCCAAGGCCCCTGCGCAGCCAGCCTCCACCGCTGGGGCCTCAGCGCTAAACAGCTGTACTCTTGTGGAGAGACACCAACAATGTTACACATTATTGAGGAGTGTCCCCTCTACAGACTAAGAGGTGGATTAATAGCTTTGAACTCAGTTAACGAGGAGTCTATCGCTTGGCTCCGCAGATTTGCATTTGCTAAATAAATAAATAAATAATAAATGGAGCAAAGAAGAGACAAGATATGTGAACAGTAAAAGAAAAATAGACTTTGTGCTTTGTATCAGACCAAGTGGAATGGCCACAGATGACTGTGTATCTAAAACTGCAGAAATAGAGCTAGTAAGTAAGCATGTGGGCCAGATTTTTCTTGTATCCAAAAAATAGACACATGTAGATGATAATGTTTAGAAAGTGAGTAAAATTTTAAAACAAATGTGCATGGTCAAAGGTAACATGAGGAAGTAATGCATCTTACAAACTATGTAAGATATGTGGAGAGCTCAAGCTTTTATGAACTCAAGTTCACATCCTCAGATACTGTGAGTGGACAGAATAGAATGTGCATAAAGGGAGAGTGACTTGAATATAAAAGGTGGAAAAGTGGTGGGAGAGGAAGGGGAGTAGAGGGCAGGTGGATGGTACTTGGAGAGGCATACAATTAAAGAACCCATAGGAACAAAGGGGTCACAAAAGCTAACCCAGGTAATGCAATAAGAAACTGTAGTCCATGTTTAAACCGTGCTTAACACAGTCCCATTTGTGTATTGCATCAGAGTACCTGGGAAAGAGCATCATTAGTGCTGAAAGGTAAAAGCTGAGTCAGGATACAAAGAGGAATGGTGCAAGAGGAGTGGCACAGTATTTAAGGTCCTCTTGTAAATGTTTTGCTTGACTGCAACTGTACTTATTTTGTCCTTGTTTCTCTACTCTGCTTTTGACAGTGACACCTATTGTGAACTTCTGTACTCATTTGCCCCTGGTGAAAGTTAGGAGGAAGTCAACTCATACTTCCACTTGTGGCTTAGTTTCCAAAGATTACAAATCCAGGGGATTAGATATAATGCAGCTCATCTCCTCCAGACCTTCAACTATGTCTCATGCAAACATGGTGGTTGGTAGAGCAATAGGCACAGGAGGTGGCCTAGCCACCAGTTTTACACTGGTGTAGATTCATCTAACATAAGGAAATTTGCTAGGGGCTGTCTGATTTCTATTACATATTCATTCTCTTTAGTCATGAAGACTATGCAAAGCCAAGTGGTCTGTATAATTAGCCAGCTATTGCAGGTCTCATTAAAGTGTGATTTGTCAAAGAGTTTTAAGAAAGTAAGAAAGCACTGTCATATTTTAAGGCCAGATGAACAGGTTCTTTCCTCCACTCCGTCTCAAAGCAGCCATTCTTTTCTTTGTGCCTTACTTCCCCTCAGGTAAAATGCAGATAGTATCTACACAGGATTGCCATTCATGCATCTAATTCCTCTAACCACTGTATGAGGCATTATTTTTCACTGGGGGTGTAAGTGGCAATTCCAATTCTCTCATACCATCACATGGAATTAAAAGCCAAGCAGTTTTGTCTTCCTGACCTCCCAGATGAAGCAACATTAATTATTGTACTATGAGCTCTGCAAACAAAACACCGGAAGACTCAGCGAGCACCTCTTTCTTCAGGGTGGTTGGTTCAAATCCAGTGTCAGATAATATGGTCTGAAAATTATTGCTGTCTGGTGGCTGCTTGTTCTTTTTAAACTGAGCTGGTGGGTTCAATTCGCTCCTTTAAAGATGGCTGTCCATATTATGAGATTGACTTCTTTATCGTTAGATCTTGGTGCTCTTGAAGGTAGTCCTGAGGAACTGAATTATCATGAAGACTTAATTATCCTCCTATCCAAGCAAGTAGCAGTGTTGAGGATGGTGCATTATTGGGGCAAGTAGGGAAGTTTGTTTTGCTGCTTTCCAAATTTAAATGAATTATAGAGGGTTTGGTCTGCAGGGTGTTTGGCCTCTTTTATCATTACTAAAATAACTCAGCCGTTTTAAAAAGGAAAAGTTCCACATAACAAAAAAATTGGAATTAGCCACACCGTTGTTTCTCAGCAGGATCATTTCACATTCAGTCCTGTAATCTGTGCGTGTGGGTCAGAGGTGTGTCTCAGAGTGTCTCAAAAATCAAATTAAAATATCTAAGAACGTTTTAAAAACGTACATTAGTTTTGTTTGCAGCTAGCATTTCTTCTAGGTCATCTCATTCCTCACAAGAGCTAGCCTGTGCGTGCTTCAAGCACTGGAATAGCTTAGATTTCCTTTATGGTTATCACCCTCGTGCATGATTTGGTCATTTTGGAGTGATGGTGCTAGCTGTCATAGTCCAAGAATTATGCAAGAGGCAATCATTGTTGTAGGTAATAATTTTAATTGGACCAACTTCATGATTAGGATTGTGTCCCATTTATAAAAGAGAAGCCACTGATATATGATACCGTAGAATTTTTAGTGGGCACTGGCACTAATGTTTTTAGTTTATTGACTCCGTTTGGATTTTCATTCTTGTGGTTTCAGCCAGGTTTTTGTAGCACTTACCAGAACACCCTTCTTTTCTCCTCAATTTGTGCAAGTCAGTGCTTGTGAATAAACCTTTTTATAGCCAGGAAAACAGCCTAGTAGTGAATAAAATTCAAATCTCTTCTGTTAAGAGATTCTGCACGCACATTTCTATCAAGTAGTCGCTTCAGGTTTTCTTTTGTTGGCCGTTTAGCCAGCAGTGCCTTTGAAACTGCAGCTTGGTTTTTGACAGCTTAACTTTACAATATCTTTGATCTCATCTGCTATTCCTATGGCTTTCTCTTTTCTGCATGCATCATCACATAATACAGATGTTACTAACATGCCCAGTAAACCATTCTCCTCAGGTTTTATAAATTATAGACAGACAAAAGAGCTACCCAGTTAAGGACCCCAAATAATGATAGATGAGCCAACTGCAACCAATTAAGAATGTGTGTGCAGAGCACCTTCATAAAATACTGGTGAAACAATGGGTCAGACTCTCAATTACAGTTAAAAAATTAAGCTTCCTTCACATTATTGAGAGTGTGCTGATTTACACGAGCTGAAGGTGTGGTCCTATGTCCCAGTACAGTGTTACCTAATTAAAAACAAATGTAACAAAAAAATAATTGCAGATGAGTTCAAAGGAAGGTATGGTATTTGCAAAAGGAAATCTGCTAGAATTTACTGTTTCCCCTATCCACCTTAGCTTATTTATCTTTTGTTTCCACTTTAGGTTATCAGCTTAACTCAGCTGAATGTGTGGACATTCGTTTGAAGCGTGTTGTTCCCGATCACTACTGTCACTACTATCCAGAAAATAAGAAACCAAAGCCTAAACTAAAGGAATGCAACATGGATCCCTGTCCTTCTAGGTTTGTGTGACAAATATTGAAGAAAATAGTTTCTTTGATTAATAAGGGATGAGACCTCATATTTATTTGACTTCCCACTTTTTTCATCTATAGAATTGCATAGTCTTAAACAGCAATGATGTTATGGAAGGCTGGCATTTGTCACCAACATAATCAGACACATAGCACCTCCTCAAACTTGTGTAAGAGAGAGAAACTTTGCTGAATAATGTTAAAAAAATCCATTTTTCTTTGTTCTTGGCTTGGTTATATATTAGGTTTTTTTGCTGAGCAATGTGGCACTAGTGCATGTATTTTGTGCACTTATATAGAAGGACAGGGCATGTCCTGCTTTAGGATTTACTGATGGTATGATTTGGGTTTTCTCCTTAAAGACAGGAGGTAGCTTTGTTTCTCACTAAGCATAGGGCTCTAGCAC